ATCCAGGATCCGCCCACGGGCACGCGGTTTAGTCGAAGCAAGGAAGGGTGGGTAATGGGGGAAGAAGGGGAAGAATGCACTCGTTCGTTCGAGCTGACGAAACTGAAATTATTCCGCCAGGGGTGGCCGGTCACTCGATCGCATCCGTACAAAAGGAACGTGTTTTTGGTTCGATGAAACGCGTTGGTCGGTTACGCTCGGCTCGTTTCGCTTCTGGCCTGTTTGATTGGAGCCCTGGCAGCGATGAAACGATCGGAATACGAGCGCGGCCAATCGATCGGCGAAGCTGCACGACCCGGGGAAGAACGAATCGCCGATTTGCTGGGAATGATTATCCGTGACGAATCCAGGCAACATTGTTGAAAGACTCGCCGGTGTTTCTTGTGTCAACAGTTCCCCGTAAGATGACGCTCGAAATTTCATTTATCGTAGATTTATCGGATTATCCTCTTAATCTTGATACGTTAAATAGCTCCGTGGATAGAACAGTGTCGATAACGAACATCAAGGGGGGAGTGAAAAAAGTAGAACTAGAAATCGTCGACTAGAACAGCGTGCAACAACTACATTATTCCAGTGTCGATCGGACACGTACGATAGGGTGCCGCTATTACGAACGAAAGCGTGAGATTCGGATTTAACGGTCGTGTGTACATCTCTTTCTTTCCTTCTTTCTTTCTCTTCCTGCCGGCAATCAACGAATTGATTGCACCAGAAACCGAGGAACATTTCGTTTAGAAAGCGGTGCCCGATAGACATCGCTCGTCATTATAACAGTAGGCCGGCATAATTGAAAACGTAATTACATCCCAGTCCATTTTCCTTTTTACCCACGCGAACTCAAAATCTACCTCTAACAAGGGACACGCAGCGCATACGTTAACGAACTGTAACGCAATTTTCCGTCTCCCGGGTGCCGCTCCATTCACGAGTTTTCCGCCAGTAATGTTAATTATCCTGGTTGCGAAAAAAAAAAAAAAAACGATCCGACCTGAAACGAGCCGGTTCTCTTCGTGGTCCTCGCTTCCTCAGTTCACACGGTTCGTTCGCGTGGGCGTCTCACTTCGTTGACCCACGACCTTTCGCCAGACTAGCGACCAGATTTTCTCTTATCTCGTCGACCGCCGATAAAATTGGCGAAGAATCGACCTGTTTCCTCAGTTCTCGAGTCCCTCCTAACACTGTCCCCTCTATAGATGCCAAGAATCCGTCCGCACGGTTCAACCCGTTTGATTTTCACGTAAGACTATAGGTCGTAGCTTCGGAAAATCCAGGAGCCCGATAGTCGCCATAAATTTGTTGAATTTTCCCCGATTGTGTTGCTTATGCAACACGTTGGAACACGCATATACCCAAGAGTGATCCCGTAATCGCGTAATCCCCGGTTTGCCCCGCGATTCGATCAATTACGCCGACACCATTGTAATTTGTAGCGTCTCTATCTGCATTTGTCTGGTGGAACCGGTTAACGAGGCCAGCCAGCCAATCGGAGAAGGAACGATCTCGTTGCCCCCAGTCAACTCGATTAATCGACTGTTGGCCGAGTAGAAACAGAGAGGCAGCCAGGTTTCTGCGACTCGTACACACGCGTCTACACACGCGTACATACGTTTACCTTGAATATTTTCAGCCTGTTGGTAGGCCTGCTGGCATTGCTGCTGTTGCTGCTGGTAACTCGGCGCAATTTCAACTGCGCTTCCATCGTCGAGCTGAAATAAAGTGGCCCCGAACACACGAAGTAATTAATTACCGCGATCTGATTGCGCGCAATTAATCCCGCCAGTCTTGCCGGCGGATCATTAATTAAGAGTAAACGAATGTCTCCGGGATGTAGACACTCGCGTGGATACGCTCATTTATTTGGAATAATTTACTTTAAACGGCCAACGGAGTTGGCGTGCCTAGAGCTCTCTTCTTTCTCGACCACGTCTTCGAGTTAGAGGGACGCGATAAATTCTCCCTTATCGAATCGGTACACCGATATCGATCTGATACATTACGTGTCGCGGCTGTGTTGTTTCGCATCTTCGAAATAACTTTCAACTTGCTTGATATTTCAATTCGTCGTGAAAATTGTTATATTATCAAGGATGAGAGAAACTTAAAATCCAGTTAAAATAATAAGCTGTATGTTACGTTCTCATTCACCGAGTTTTTGTTTATACGCTGTTTCTGTTTCTCTTACAAAGCTAACCGAGTTTACCCGCTCGTTACTCGAGTCCTCCCACGTGAATCGAATTATCTTCCGCTCTGCGGCGTGAAAAAGAGGAGGCGTGCCGTTTACGGCCACTTCCTCGATCATTGCCACTTCTGCTGGCTTTTGTCTTATTAGCGTATTCACGAGCTTCCCTTTCCATTTCTTTCTCTTCTTCCACCGTTCTAAAGTAACGAAGGAAACACCTTGATTTCTCCCACGAACGTTAACGTAACGATAGTTCTTATAATTTTCTTGTATTAAATTTAAACGTTTCGTAAGAGAATTATTCTTCCATTAATTTGTTTGCACGATATTTGGAAAATCACCTTAGCATTTCTGTAAAGTCAGATTCCCGGCAGAATCGTCGATTAGCCGGGATAGATTAGAGCACAACCTTTTAAGCGGTTTAATAACACCATTCAAGGAGCGGCAACGTTCGATGCATTAAGGTCAGCTGGGTCGAGGTGTATGAAGATAATAGCCAGCCACCGATCGGTTGGCCGGCGAATAAGTTCTTTTACATCCAAGTACGTAACCCGTCTGAGTGGTTCATTAAAGGCGCGGGGTTGCTCGATCTTTCCCGAGTTATTCCGTCGTTTTACTGTTAACATTTGTATGCTGAAAACCAACAGGTACCGTGTGAAATAAATCCTCGCGATGGCGTCTTAAATCGCGTCGAGTCATGAACTACGTAGGTACTTTGAGAACATATAATAGCTACCAGTTTTCATCGTTTCGTCGGTAAAGGGTGTTCCATAACAGGCGGTCAATTTTAATTCATAAATCAAGTTTGAACGATCGATCGGCAATCATCTGTAGCGTCTGATAGAAATGTTAGGATTTCTATTGGGAAAGTAATTTGATAAAGTAATTCGAGGCGGTTTTTGGGTTCTCTTAATGATGAGATCGAACGGTGAATCGAGGTGCTCGGGGTCAGCCAGCGCAAAAATAATAATCAATCGAACGAGCGGCAAGTGAGAGGCGGGCAATTACGCGGTGGCGGCGGTACCTGTGCTGCGGTTTGCCCGGGCCAAGAGGGACGAGGACAAACAGATCCTCCTACCGCCTTTAATTTACCTCCACCGTTCCTCTTGGACCCCTATCATAATGTAACAACTCGAGACTCCCTCGCTTTATTATTAAAAGTTAAAATTCCGCTGGCAACCGAACGATCTCTTGCGGCGAATCGATTCTCTCCGTTCTCATTCACCTGTCCTCCTCCTCTTCATCTTTCTTCCCCTCTTTCTTCGAAAACCTTCCTGCTTATAAGCTCGTTGCTCGCAATTTTCATCATCAAATTTTATTCGCAACCAAGACATTATTCAGTGTACTTGGTTGCTTTTCATTTCAATTGCTCGCTATTTTTTCGACGACTATAATAGTTGAAATCGCTCGATACTCGTATCGTCCAAATGCAAAAAAAAAAAGGAATAGAGAGGAAGAGCAACGACGAAACAAGCCTGGTCGACGATTTTCGAGCGGTATAGTGTACCGGGGGTTAATAAAATTCGCGGCACTCGGTCGCCGGCGAGGATTTCGCGGTGATTTTTTCCCCATCGCTAGTACATCGGCCGGTAGTGGGTGGAATTGTCGAAAGGCGGTAAAACTGTCGAACGAAGAGTAAGGGTATTGCAGGTGCGGGAGGGCCGTTTGCCCGTACGAATTACGCTCACGCGGAATGGCTATTTACTCGGCGGCTGATGGAAACGCGCTAGTTGAATACCGGTTTCGCGATGGAATATTTAAACGGAACAAGAGTTGCTGGACGCGGCCGAATCGAAAAACCGCAGCTCGTTTTCTCGTCCGCGAAATACCGCGACGTCGAAAACGTACATATGTCCGCGAAACATTTTCTGGGTTTATAAACAAACCATTCAGCCGTGTCTGAAAGCAAGATAGCTACCGATGAAAGGACACGTTTAATTTTTAATTTAACCGGTTCATCGTAACCCGATCCGTCGATTACGAAGATTTACAACGAATCTTGCATAATTACCTCGAGATACCCGTGTCATCGTAAAGGTAGCTCGTCTAAAATCGTTTTAAACATGACTTCTCTTTGACGAGGCTTAATAATTTCGTCGGGAACAGAGGGAACAGATCGTTTTCGATCAGTATAAATTGTTCCAGGAACGCGATCTCGAGTAGCATGGGGGCCATTTTTCGGCCAACGTGGCACAGGGCATCGTTCGATTTTTAACGACTCGAATATAACCGCGGCGAAGGATCAGGAATAATTCGAGGAGCGAGCGATTCGCGCGATTACATATTATGCTAAACACGCGAAAATGGCTTTTTAAATGGAACATCTACATTTATGCCGGAACCCGGCTCATTTCGAGCTACCCGTTACCTGGGTCCAGCGGTCGAACGCGTAAGCAGCGTCGAATTAAACGCAATTTTCGTCCATCCGAGGTATGCATAACAAATTATCGAGACGAACAGAACGTCTTCTTTATAGTCGGATACTGGAACGATCATTATGCACGTATCACGGGGGCAAAAACGATTCTTCCTCCAATTACACTCTCTAACAAATTCATCTGAAATTTGTCGGTGGTGGAATTTTATTTTACTACTTACATAGTTACGCCAATGTCTGATCACTCGTTTCAACTCACCTTGATAGCGATTGATGATCGACAGTGTCAGGAGAGAAATCGTTGGAACCGTCGGAGAAATTGGAAATTAAACGGTTCGCGAAACGCTGCCCGTATTCTGGAAGGATCTGTTTTTAACTCGTATCCCGTTGTTTTTTTTTCCTCTGTTTCATGTGCTGACCGGGATCACCGTCACTGTCCAGGATCCAACGTCCGTGAGTATGGGGTTATTACGGTCGTGTCGTCACGAAATGTTCCAAAGTATCGCTGCTGCGGATGGCATCGAGCTTCGCCGAGTGAATGGGATCGGCTGTATATCGCGGCAGTTAGCATGAACGAACGGGTTTCTTTTCCCGTCACGAGGACCCGGTCAGACCCGAAAAAAGTCTCGCGCGTATCGCGTTTCACTTATTGGCCAAACTGCACCGCGTGCACCGTGTGTTTGTTTCGGTTTCGACGGAGGTTGACCGGTAAAAAAGTAGAACGAACGAGCGGGGCCGATTGGAAATTCGGCGTTTCACGGTCACCGATACGCCGCGATCGTCCTTACCTTTCTTGCCCTCCCCCGTTCGTCGAACAAAGACGGACGCGTTTTTAATTAACACATTGTCGTCAATTCGTGCCGCCCTTCGCCGACGCTGCATCATTCGAGTACATGTTTCTTGCAGAAACCATTCGGGAGTGTAACCTTTACTTTTTTATCGAGCCTGAACCAGCTTTGATTGAGATCTTTGTTCGATTGTGTCACGGTCGAATGGTTTCGCGGCTGCTTTAAAAGCGGGGTTTACACGCCTGTGGAATTTGCTCAAACTGACTTGCGCGATTAAGTTTCTTCAAAATTCAATTTATTCCGAAGATCAGCGTGTAAACCCGATTGAATTCTTGATGTAACTTTTTAAATCGACCTCTTCGTTTCATGCTGACCGCTTGAATTATCGGGACAAACCGGTGCATCGGCGACTGCAATTGGATCATCTGGAATTCAGGGCGTAAGTACCATTCAGATTCTTTCTTTTCCCTTCGAAATTGCACGTTGTCAGTGCGCGTCAAAGCCGACCTCGTTCGAAATTTCACTGCATACGTACGACTCGAGTCTGTTAACGTGTCCGATGATTCGTGTCAGACCGTCGGTTTGACGAGCAAAGAATACTTTGTTTCTATTACTGCGTTCGAGTGAAATTGAGACGATTATTTGCACGAATCCATAATTTCTGACTTGTGTACCCATGATCCAGTTATTTGTACGCGGTTAACGAGTAAAGGATACTTTGTATCTATCGCTACGTGCCATTGGAAACGATACAAACAGACAATTACTCGCACGAATCAATCGTTTCCAAGCAAACAGTCGTCGCATGGCATTGCGTGAAAACCGCGTGTATTGAATTCTTTGTAACTTGTTACCAAGCCTGGAAAGCGATTCAGAACGATCAACTAATTATTTAACGTACAATCTTGAAGACAGTTTATCGAGAAACTTGTTGCTTTCCAACAGAAACCCGCACGCTATCTTTTTATCTCGCGCGTATACAGGATGCTTCAAAAATAATGCGCATCGTGAAGAGTATGAGTAAAAATTGAAGACCCAGTTTTTAATATTTAAAAATAAATTCTCTAGATTATGAAATGGTAAAGGGTCGTTCGATTTCTTTTTTCCCACGAAGAATTTATAATTTTCACAAGGTACATCTTTTTTGAAGCGTTCTGTATACCGGGCTCTTGCGTCTCGTTCCGATAAATCAGTAGCGCGTTCTTCGCTGAAAATTGCGATCAATCGCGACAATAACATCATACGTGGCGCAAAACACGCGGATCGTTATCGTACGTTTGTTTCCCGCGGCGGATCCGTTCCCGCTGCGCGACTCGGGCCCGTGCACAGCTGTTCTTGTCAGTATCCCGATGCATCACGATAAATCCAACGAGCAGCTCCTTTTTCGTACGGTTTCGATCTGCCGCACGGCTCGTTCGCCGTGTGTCGTGTCGTATACCCTGAACGATCGGCTAAAAGCGAGCACACGCGTGTCTTTTCTCATACAACGATCACGGTATAATCGCGAGATCGAGGCCCGCGGTTAAGTCTCAATTAACCGGTAGATCTCTATCGAGAAACTCTTCCACCCTAAGATTATCTCTAGCGGTTGCATAATGAACGTCCCGCTATCGTCCCGTGCACTTTAAGATCTTGAAATTATCGTGATCAGTTTGATCGACTTCTAATCGATCATTTGTATTATATGGTATATCGAATAGTGAGAAAATGAATAATGATGAAACGTTTGAACATTGATTTGATTATTTCCAAAATTGTACTACGAAAAAGGAAAAGGTGGTGGTGTTCGAAAAAGAAATTGGTCATTTGACGCGGCGCGAAAGAAAAATCGGTCTCGTGGTTGATACAAAAGCCATCTCCAAAGGTTTCGGGTACTGGCGAGGGAAGGAATACGAAATGACGGGACGGATATCTGACGTCTCTATAGCAGTAAAACGGCGGGCATGCGTGGCCGGCGCTGCCACGACGGGGGTCCTGAGACGTCGTCGGAGACATCGGGCACCGCGGGCGGCCATTGTCTCAAGGGAGACCCAAGGGCGAGGCAGGAAGGGCCAACCCCGGCTGACACGCACGAGGGGGTCGCCAGCGTCCCGCCGGGCCCCGAAACGAAATTAATAACCGAATTTCAAGTATTCCTATTTCCAGCGACGAGTTATCGGCCGCAACGGTCCGTACGGCCACCTGAGACCCCCTCGCAGTCAGCGCAGAAACCGATGTCACACCTACGCGATCCCTCCGAAAACGAGAATAAATGTTACAATCCCCTCGGCTCGGCTGACTTACGATGCCGATAAACGATATTTACGGCGTAATCGTTAATTAAAATATATCGGTGTGTCGGCTGGCCGGCGCTGCCACGGCGGAAACGAATTCGCGAGGAACGCGCGAACTCGTGTCCCAACGAGATGTTAATGAGTCAGCTGCTACGTCTTAGTTAAGCTGTTCTCTTATTTGCCCAACGTCCAACCTTGGGACCAGAAACTCGAACCTGCGCCGTTCGTCTGCAAAAGATCGCGACCCGTTGATCGATCGTTTTCCTCTTTGCCAGCTCATCGTCAACTTCATCGATCTTCGTAAGGGTTTGAAAGTTTGAACGCGTAGGTGGCGATCGATTAACTGAGAAATTATTCCGATAAAATTGTACCGCGTATTTTTATATCTTTCACAATTTCAATTGGAAATTAGATGATTTTTGTAGCCGTAATTTGTATAGTAAGAATAGCCTCTTTCCTCTTGAACGGCCTCCATATGGTTGCGACCTTGCCTTTTTTTTCAACATCGCCCAGAGTATATCGCGAGCGGCGCTATAAGCGGGCAATTAAAAACGTGCGGCAGAGACATTTATGTTGGCACTAACTGCCCGTTAAGACGGAGGAACCGCCTAACCGTGGAAGGTGTAATTGGCCGACGTGCTGAAGCTGCAGCTCGTAAAACAGCGGGCGTGCCTGGCTCGCTGTAGTTTTTCCGCTCGCGCCGCCTTTACCTATCGCCTTTCGTTGAATTTTCAATTAATCCACGTCGTCGATCTCTTTTTCCTTCTCTGAAATACTTCCGTACCTGGGAGAAATCGATTCGAGCCAACCACGTGATTTTAACGAGAACCATCATTAAGCTTCCTTAGATCCAAGTGTTTTCCTGCTAGACTATTAACGCTTTATTATTGCCAAGTTTTTCTGAAGTTAACAAAAATCTAGTGTTAAATCCAATTAACGCTTGTTTCAGTTTTCCATAAGTTAACTATAATTAATGATAAATCGTCGATAAATCATCGTTGTCCAGCGCGAACCTTTCCATCTTACAGAACGAGTAAGCGTAAACGAGTATCCGATAAGAAAGGAGAAGCGTTCGTTATTAAGGTAGATCCAGTATATGGATAAAACGTAATTTCCTCGCGTTTTTAATTGCGATACAATGTTTCGCGATGGATTCTGACAGGTTTTAAAGAAAACCCATGGGACTGTATCGAGGCGAGAAAGGCGAAACTGTAATACGTGGCGTCTATTTTATAAAAGGCTCGTTACGCTGGCCCGACCGCGCGAATACACGTTCTGCCCGGCCAATCTATTTCTCCCTCGCGGTTTTCGATTAAAATGCCAGACGCCGGGACGAGAGAAAGAGAGATTCCCTCTGATACGCGATATTGTTACGCGTGTACACGTTGTAACTGTCCGGTTCCGTGACGGAGTCACGCGATATGCATTATGCACGCACGTAACGTGGCGGCGGCGGCGGCACCGACGGCAGACGTTTCCGCAATCACTCCCACGATGCACCGACGGGTGACGAGCGTCGTTTTGTGAGAAACGAGGCATCGATGTTCGGTAACGTTCCCCTTTTTCACGCGCACGGAAAAACTCGCCCGCTTTCCCGCCGTTTACACTCCTCTTTAGGCGGGAAAACGCGTTCGAACGGAATAAATACAGGTGAGAAAATACCTAACGAGGATTCAGCTTCTTTAGTAAAAAAAAATTAGGGAAAATATGAAAGTTTGTTTCGAAAGAAGACGGCATAATCAAAAGCACCTTTTACAATGGCATGAATTTAAAAAGTAATTAAAGTCGGCATGTAATACAAGCGTAGTTCGCGCAAGTTCAAGTGTAAATGCGAGGAGGGATATCTTTATTACGGCTAATTTCTTGCGTGTTCGTTATTCCAGTAGAGAAGGCTCGCAGCGAACGTGTTAACTCCCGGTAGGAAAAAGGGCTAACGAAATAATCGTTGCGATCATTCGCGATAATTACCGGCGTCTTGGCTCGTTACTTTTCTTTTCTAAGTAATTTCAGCAACTCAATTCTATCCCCATTTGCTTATAAAATAGTAGTACAAAATACTGATCCCTTGGAAATGGAAATTAACCGATTGTATCCTTAATAACTGATGTTTTAATGAGCCCTACCGTTGGCAGTTAACGTGTTAATTAGAGTATGTAATAGCTAGGGGGTGTACAGATAGCTTTATACATTTCAACAGATATATTTCGCAAGACTTTCTACTCGGTGGCAGGTGTCGGACGTGAAAAAATGTCGCCGGGGTGACGATAGAACGATGCGAGGACCTCCGACGCCGATATGCACCGGGGCTCATTACAGCAGCTGCATTACCCGTATATACGCGACGCGTCATTACTTTTATTAGCATAATGACAGGCGAACAACTCAATTTGCAT